GAGAGAGAGAGAGGGAGAGGGTGTTTTTTCATAAAAAAAGATTGATCTAACAACCTAAAATAATGTGTTGGATGTTTAAGCGAAACTAATGGTCGGATGTTTTGCTTTTCCTCACATAATTTTGTACGATTTTTTTAACTTAAGAGAGACCCCTAGTGTGTCCCTGGGTGGTTTAGAAACATTTATAAGATGGTTAATATGTTTTGACGCCGCATGGGAGCGCGGAGGAAGATTTGGGATGTTTTTTTGTTGAAAAAGATCGATCTAATAACCTAAAATAATGTAAATCGATTGTCGAATGTTTTATTTTTTTTAAGATTTCCTCTAATTTAAGAGTGCTATATATTCCCTCCGTTCCATAAAAACTCAAATTAGAATATGATATGACATATTTAAGAACAACGAATCTGGAAATGTATTTACAAATATTTGTATGATGTTGAATTTTATTAGGAGAGTATATATGAAGAGTTGGCTAGATATAATATGTTGATGGGCTTTTTAGGCCCATAAGAAAGTATTTAACTTTAATTGTTATGGGGATTATAGAAAAAAGAGAGGAACGGTGGTTGGAGCCTTGCGGGGATTGTACGTACGTGCGCATGAAGGCTGACATCCGGACTCCGGACGGAGATTTTTTTTCCACGTGAAATAAATCTAACGATAAAAATTAATGGGCCCATCAATTTAAATGAAAATTAATGGTCAGATTTTTACTATTTTATTAGAGTGTCACATGGTGACTCGAGAGCGTTTATAGGATACCACATGGCAACCTAGGAGTGTTTGTAGAAAGTTTAATTGATTTTAGTATATAATAGATAGATATAATAGATGTACGTTTGACCATTTATCTTATTCGAAAACTATATCTTTTAATCTATTCTATGACTAAAGGCACTTATGTACGTTTTATTTATTTTTAATTTATACATCTTTTAAATAAGACAAATGATCTACATGGTATAAAATCAAAAATACATATCTCCGTTGTAGGTCTACATGTTGGCGCGCTCATGTTGTGGTGGTGATGTCTGCGTCGCTTATCTTCCCTGTTACCATCAATGAAGACGAGGCAACTATTGTTGTGTTCATCACATCTAAAAGCTCGTTGTCATCACCATCGCCGTACGTGCCCCTCCGAAGCATGTCACCATCGCCACCGCTATTCCTGTGGTCCCTGACATCGTTGCTGGACCGTACCCATGGAGGCTCGAATGCATGGGTATGTTGTGTTCAGTACATATAAGGCCGGATCAGCATAACTTTAGATCTTTGGATCTGAATATTTGATTACGTCAATAATATTTACATAAATTATTTTATTTCTATTTTAGATGAAATGTGAAATTTTAAACCACTGCAATGTGACTACAAACTTGAAATGCAGCGCGTATTTGAAATCTACAACTATATCTGTCGGAGGTATGGGCCCAGAGGTATGCGAAGTGAGGGAAAGTTACCTTTCTATCCAGCCGCGTGGCTCTACAGCCTGGCCCTACTCCCACGCCTCGCGAGTCACAGAAGTGGCCGGGGGGCCTCGGGGTGCCACGTCGTGCCCCTCAGGCTCTCCCGCTGCCTCGCCCCGAGGCCCTCGCCCAGCTGCCATATGGCGGGGGGAGCGAGCAGGAAGGGGGCCCAGGCTGAACAACCATCAATGCGCAGCGCCCCAACTGTCCCTCACCGCATTTAATGCGGTAAGGGCAGACGTGCGGTGCCGCCTAGCTGATCCACGTCAATCGGATGTAACCAGTCTGTGACCGGCCTGTTGCCGGTCACATCCGATTGAACGGGTGGCCGTGCCCCCACGTCACCTCTGTAACAGGCGGAGTGGAAGTAGGTATGACCCGTCCTATCATGGTGTCATTCGGGGTTCCCTCCATGAGAGAAGGAACACCACAAGTCTTCACTCATTTATGAGGGAATGACAGGGCTGTCCCCTGTGTCAGGCGAGGGGTGGCGCTGGGTCCCACTCAAGGACAGGCTGCTGCTTAGCTTCCGAGCGAAGGCACGGATCGTGGCCCGGTCAAGGTAAGGTGGGTCCCCCTCCCAGGGAAGGATAGGTAGAGGCGGTGCATGTGGTATCCCCTTGAACTATAAAAGGAGGACCTTGCCCACCGAGCAAAGGGACGACTCTCAGAAAACCTGAACTCTAGGAGAAGAAGGGGAGAAAGCTCTCCGGAGTTAAGGAACCCTTGTAACTCTTAACCATAATCTCAAACACAGGAGTAGGGTATTATGCTCCACAGCGGCCCGAACCTGTATAATCCGATTCTGTGCAAGCTAGCTAGTAGCCTTAGGGGCGGATACGCGATTTCTAAGAGGCGAGCCTCTTCCCCCGGCCGAACTCACGAAAGGGGGGTCTCACGACCTCCCGCTATCGAGGGCCTTCCCTCGACAGCTGGCGCGCCAGGTAGGGGGAAGGTCGCGCGCTCTGAAGTGAAGTCGTTTTCTTCCGCCCCAAGTTTCCCTGGGCCCTTGACGACCATGGTCGAGATCCTGGAGGTGGAGGAGGCGGTGGCGTTTACCCCCACCCCGTCCGGGAGTGAGTATTCTAGTGGGAGCCGCGGCCCTCGTCACCGCCGCCGCGACTCCCCAACTCCTCCCCGCCGCGAACCCTCGCGGAGGGAGGATACCACCCGTTCGGGTGGTTCGGCCCTCTCTTCGCCCCCGGGCGGGGGGAGGCCACGACGCGTCGGGGCACGTCGCCGCCTCACTTACGGCGACGACGATTCGCCCCGAGGCGCGCTTCAGGCGGCGGGTGCCCTTCTGTGGCATCCCCCCGTAAACTCGGAGCCAGAGACCCCTGTTCAGCGCTGGCTAGACGACTTGGCCAACTTGGTCACCTCTGCCCAGCGGCAGTTGGCTGCTGGCGACCGACCTGCCGCCACCGGTACGTCGCGTACCCCTGTTACCCTCTCCTCGTCGGCAAGGAGGAGGGCCCGTCGCTCGGCCACCGCCTCAAGGCGGTCCACGGCGCCAACATCGTCAGGGGCCTCAGGAAGCCGGAGGCGTCATGACGGTCTCTACGGGGAGCAGGACGCTCGGATCAACATCGAGCGACGCAGGGACGAGCGCTGAGCTGCCCGCATGGGGAAAGGCGCCTCCTCATCTGGAGTGCCACGTTCCTCCTCACGAGGCGGCCCTCCCCCACGCTCTCCCCTGGAGGGACGGGTTGTAAGGCCTTCGTGGTGAGTCTCCAGAATGTCCTGTGGCCCCTGAAGTTTCGCCCCAACCTCACGGAGAAGTATGATGGCAGCATCAATCCCTCCGAGTTCCTCCAGATCTACACCACGATTATTGTGGTGGCAGGGGGTGACTATCGGGTCATGGCGAATTACTTCCCCATGGCCCTGAAGGATCAGGCGCGTGGCTGGTTGATGACCCAGCCCCCCGACTCCATCCACTCCTGGGAGGATCTGTGCCAGCAGTTCGTTACGAACTTCCAGGGCACATATCCCCGTCCGGGAGAAGAGGCGGACCTGCACGCTATACGGCGGAAGGACGACGAGTCCCTCCGCTCGTACATACAACGCTTTTGTTAGGTCCGCAACACTATTCGGTGCATTCCGGCCCACGCGGTCGTGTATGCGTTTCGGAATGGCGTGCAGCATAACTGCATGCTAGAGAAGATCGCCTCCAAGGAGCCCAAGACCACCGCCGAGCTTTTTGAGCTGGCGGACAAGGTGGCTCGGAAGGAGGAGGCGTGGGCCTGGAACTCTCCCGGCACCGGTGCGGCGGCCACGGCTGCCCCCGAGTCTGCCCCCCACTCTAAGTGGCGAGATAGGAGAGGCAAAAGGAAACCGGCCCGCTCCGATGACGAGGGCCATGTCCTTGCGGCAGATGGGCCCGCACGGGCCCCGTGCAAGGGAAAGGACACCGGCGACAAGACGATCTCCACTGCTCCATCCGGCGAGGGCCGGTCGGCAGACAAGTGGTGCTCGGTGCACAACACTTATCGGCACAGTCTCGCCGACTGCCGCTCGGTCAAGAATTTGGCTGAGCGATTCCGAAAGGCCGATGAGGAGAAGCGGCAGGGTCGACGGGAGGGCAAAGCCCCCGCCACCTCAACCGGTAACCGGCGAGAAGAGGCCAAGAACAAGGCCCCCGCCGATGATGGCGGTGACAGTGAGGATCTGGATTTCCAGATACCTCAGGGAACCGTCGCCACGCTCGACGGGGGGGGGGGGGGGGGGCGTGCGCTCACACCTCTCGCCGGGGCTTCAAGGCCATGAGGCGAGAGCTTTTGGCCGCTGTTCCCACGCACGAGGCGGCTCGGAAGGCGCGCTGGTCGGAGGTGAAGCTCACCTTTGACCAGAGCGACCATCCGACAGTGCTCGCTCGAGGAGGGAAGTTGGCCCTTGTGGTCTCCCCGACCATTCACAACGTCAGGATGAAGCGTGTCCTGGTTGAATGGAGAGCCAGCCTGAGCATCATCTCCCCAGCCGCCTTCGACGCACTCAAGGCCCCGGGGATGAAGCTCCAGCCGTCGCTGCCGATCATCGGCGTGACTCCGGGACATACGTGGCCTCTTGGCCACGTCGAGCTCCCGATGACCTTCGGCGACTCCACCAACTTCCGCACCGAGCGAAACGACTTCGATGTGGCGGACCTCAATCTGCCCTACAACGCGGTCCTGGGCAGACCCACGTTGGTGAAGTTCATGGCCGCCACCCACTATGCCTACCTCCAGATGAAGATGCAGGGCCCTGCTGGTCCCATCACCGTCTTTGGCGATGTCAAAGTTGCCCTCACCTGCGCGGAGCAATGCGCCGACAACCTGGCGGTGGCCACGGAGCCGCAGGCCCCGGAGGCCTCCGCGTCCCGCCTCCAAGAAGCGCCTCACCTCGGCTGATGAGGTGCCCGTCAAGGAGATCCCCCTTGGCGATGATGTGTCCAAGACCGCCAAAATTGGCGGAAACCTGGGCGCCAAATAGGAAGGCGCGCTTGTCTCCTTCCTTCGGGCAAATTCTGACGTCTTCGCATGGAAGCTGTCAGATATGCCCAGGGTCCTCAAGGAGGTGATCGAGCACCGCTTTGCCGTCCGGCAAAAAGTGCGGCGTCAAGCCCTGGAGCGACAGGCCTTCATCCGAGAGGAAGTGGCGTGGCTCCTGGAGGCTGACTTCATCCGCGAGGTTATCCATCCGGAGTGGCTGGCGAACCTGGTGGTCGCCCCGAAGGCCAACGGCAAGCTCCGGATGTGCATCGACTACACGGACCTCAACAAGGCATGCCCTAAAGATCCCTTCCATCTACCACACATAGATCAGATAGTCGACTCCACTGCGGGGTGTGACCTTTTGTGTTTTCTAGATGCCTACTCTGGGTATCACTAGATTCGCATGGCTAGGGAAGATAAGGAAAAAACTGCCTTCATTACTCCTGTGGGCACCTTTTGTTATACAACTATGCCTTTTGGGTTAAAAAATTCAGGACCTACTTTTCAGCGCATGACTCGTATTATTTTGAGTAATCAAATAGGGCGCAATGTAGAGGCGTATGTCGATGACCTGGTGGTAAAGACGCGCCACTAGGACACGTTGCTGCAGGATTTGGCTGAGACTTTCGATAGTCTTAGGTCCACACGCGTGAAACTGAATCCCGATAAGTGTGTTCGGTGTGCCGGCGGGCAAACTTCTCGGTTTTCTAGTCTCCTTCCGAGGCATAGAAGCAAATCCCGAGAAAATACACGCGATAGAGAGGATGGGCCCCCCTACAAACTTAGGGATGTGCAGTGCGTCACTGGATGCATGGCCGCCCTAAGTCGATTCATATCGAGGCTGGGAGAGAGGGCGCTACCCCTATTCAAGCTCCTCAAGCGCTCTAGGCCGTTTGTGTGGACGGAGGAAGCTGAGCAAGCTCTCAACCAGTTGAAAGCTTACCTCACCTCCCCCCCATCTTGGTAGCCCCGGGGCCGGAGGAACCGTTGCTACTCTACTTGGCCGCAACCCCCCATGTGGTGAGTACCGCCCTAGTAGTCGAGTGCGAAGAGGGCGAACCGGAGGCCCCTTTAACTCGCGATGGCCCTACGTCTCCCAAAGGCCCGGAGCCCGAGGCCCCCGTGGGAGGAAGGGAGGCTTTGGCGAGTGGTCCTAAGGCCTATGATCCCGACATGACTCGAGACCCCCCCGGGGCCCCCGAGCAAGGGCAACCCAGATCATCCCGCCAAGCAAATCCACCAGCCGGCCCAAGCCTTGCAGGTCATCCCGCTCTCTTGGCCTTTTGTGGTCTAGGGGCTAGACATCCTTGGACCATTCAAGGCTGCTCGAGGCGGGTATCAACACCTTGTACGTCGCCATCGACAAGTTCACCAAGTGGCCCGAAGCTTACCCGATCGTCAAGATCAACAAGCATTCCGCCCTCAAGTTCATCAGGGGCATCACGTCACGATTCGGAGTGCCCAACCGCATCATTACAGATAACGGCACCCAGTTCACCAGTGAGCTGTTCGGCGACTATTGCAACGACATGGGCATCAAATTGTGCTTTGCCTCACCCGCCCACCCTAAGAGCAACGGCCAAGTCGAGCGAGCCAACGCCGAAATCCTCAAAGGCCTTAAGACCAAGATGTACAACGTCCTAAAGAAACACGGGGATTCGAGGCTCGAGGAGTTGCCCACCGTGTTGTGGGCAAATCGGACCACTCCAAGTCGTGCCACGGGGGAAACACCATTTTTCCTAGTGTATGGCGCCGAAGCGGTCCTACCCTCGGAGCTTTCCCTGGGATCGCCTCGCGTCGCGCTGTACAATGAGGCCAACCAGGATGATCTTCGCCGCGACGATCTCGTTTATCTTGAAGAATGGAGAAGGCGTGTGGCCCTGCGTGCCGCGTGCTACCAACAAAGCCTGTGGCGCTACCATCAGCGCCTCGTCCGGGCCCAGTCACTGCAAGTTGGCGATCTCGTCCTACGCCGCGTCCAATCGCGTCTGGGCTGAGCAAGCTCTCGCCAATGTGGGAAGGGCCATACAAATTGATCGGTGTTCCCCGGCTAGGCTCTATTCGACTAACCAGGGAGGACGGCACCGAGTTGCCTAACCCCTGGAATATCGAACACCTCCGTCGCTTCTATCCATAGCGTCGAGATTTTTTGCTTTCTAGGAGCTCGGGCCAACCCCCGCACAACCCCTCGGTTTGTGCGGGCTTGGTCGGGGGCTACCACTGTGTATCCTTTTCCCTTTACAAGCAATGAATTTTTCTACTTAGTGTGAAGCCCGTTATGCCCCCCTTTTCTCTCTCTTTCCTTTGGCTTGTCCTGGTTCAAAGGATAGTTCGCGCTTACTCTGAACCCTAAGTGCCGTGGGGCGACCTGAAAACCGCCCAAAGGGAGCACAAACGCGGGCCGCGCCCCGGGTTGCGCCGAACCCTGGGGGCTCGGAAGGGCCTACACTCGGCCGTCCCCGACCCCTTGTCGTCGTAGCCCCGGTCTGGCAAGTCCCGCTGGGCGGCTTCCTCAGGGCGTCGGTTTTGCCTTTCACCACTTAGGTACCACGGACCGAGCGCGGGTTTGCCTTTTCGCTAGAACAAGCCCGAGGGGGGGGGGGAGGATGGGGTAAAAGCGGCATTTCGATCACAGGCAGATTAATTATATACTTTTGCTCTTGTTTTTTCCTCTTTCTATGCCGCAGGCATTCAATGGAAAAAGCAAAGGGGTAAAAAGTGCGAAAAGGAAGTTTTAATTGCAGAACAAGACAGGAAGACACGATGGCCTAAATACAAGAAGTGTCTGCTACAGGCACACAACAATGGGAAATTGAAAGCGCGGGTAATCACGGAGTGCTCGGGCCCCCGAGGCCGGTGCCGCTAACGACGTTGTAATGCCCCGATTTTTGTTCGGGAATAAAAATCAATTAATAATGCATTTTCTAGAAATTAAATAAAAGTTAAATCAATTTAATCAAGTGAAATTATAGAGGAAATTAAAAATTTCCTTTAAAAATCATTGGCCGGAAATATTTTGTAATATTCTCTTTGCCCTAAAATACTCTCCGGATTTTTCAGCAAATTTTCGGAGCTCAAGGAGTAATTATAATAATACAAAGTTCATTTAAACCAATTAAATTAAATGAAAAACAAATAAAATCCCTCCCCTCCTTCCTTGGGCTCAGCCCAATCCCTTCCCCCTCCTTCCCCGGCCAGGCCGGCCTTCCCCCTCCATTCTTGGGCCGTCGGCCTGTTCCCCTTTCCCCTTGTAAAAGTCCGCTTCACGTCCTCCTCAGCCTCCTCTCTCTCACTCCGGCCGACAAGTAGGACCGCAGGGCCCACTCGTCAGCTTCTCCCCCTACCTCCATCCGGCCGGCTGAAACTGCCATGGCCGCTGGTTCCGCCCCACGACGCCGCGCCTCCCGCGCCCCACCCCGTCCCGTGAGCGCGTGGACTCGATCCCCACCTCCTCTTCCCCCACTCTCCCCACGGAATCGGCACCGAACCGCTGCCACCACCCCCACGTCGAGCTCCACGTCGCCGGCCGGTTTCCACCTCTCTCGGGCTCGATCCCGCCTTCCCTCCCGTCTTCCCCTCATCCGTTTCCTCCATTTTTCCCAAGCCGCCGCGCCCTCCCTTGCTCTCCCCGCGCCGAGCCCACGCGCCGCCGCTCTCCGGCGAGCTCCAGCCGCCTCTAGCCGCCGCACTAGCCACCGCCGCGCCACTCCGCTTGCACCGCCAGCTTCGCCGTGCCTCGCCGTGCCTCAGCCTCCACTCCGTTTCCCCATTCCATCGTCGAAACTCCATCTCCACCATGAAACCGAGCCGCCGCCCCTTCCAACGCCTCCAGCCGCCCGCCACCGCCACTCTAGCCAATGCCGCGCTGCGCCGCTGCAGCCAAAAGCTCCGCCGCATCGTGCCGCACCCCGGCATCCACTCCGTTCGCCCCCTCCACCCCCGCAGCACCATTCCCATCGTGGTGCCAAGCTACCGCCACCTGTACCGCCTCCAGCCGCACATCGCCGCCGTCCTAGCCACCGGTGTGCCACGCGACAACCTCCACCGGCTTCGCCGTCTCAAGGGCAAGCCCGGCTACCACTTCCCCTCCCCAAACCGCCGCCGAAACGCCGCTGCCACCACCAACCTGAGCCACCAACTCCATTTGCCGACTCCAACCGCGTCGTCCTGCTGCTTTGGTCGTCGCCAATCCACGCCGTCGCCTCCCTCGGCTCCGCAAGGACGAGGAGGTCCTCGGCCACTGCTCCCCGTCGCCCGAATCCCGTCGGAACTCCACCTCCATCGCACACCGGTGAGCACCCGCCGCTTTTCTTGCTTCCGGCCGGTGATTCACGCCGCCGGGAGTCTCCTCGTGCCCCTTTCCCTGCAGCTAACCCATCCTCCCCGTTCGCCAGATCCCGCCGGCCCTCGGCCGTGCCTCCGGCGTGGTCGGGAGTCGCCGGAATGCCGTTCCCGCCTCATCCCGTGCCGACCACCGCCATCGCTTCCGTCGCCGACCGCCTCCTCGTGGTCATCTCGCCGTCGTGCCCTCTGGTGATCATCCCTCTTCCTTCCCCGCCGCCTCCTGTGCTGTGCGCCGCCGTTCCTTGCACCGCCAGTGTTGGCGCCGGTGGCCGTCCGGTCGTGCGCCGCCGCTACCCAGTCGGGTTGGCCGGCGAGCCAACCCGCCTCTCTGCTGCGCACCACTACCGTGGACCAAGTCCACGATGGACCAAATCCTTTGGCCCGCTGACTCATTGGGCCCGCCCGTCGGCGCCGGCTCTTTGCTGATGTCAGCGATGAGCTTATCCCTTCAGAAAATAATTAATAATTGCTCAATAATTCGGTTTAATTATAGAAATTGATTAAATGGCTCAAAGCTTCTAAAAATCATATCTAATTCATTCGAACTCCAAATTGAGCCATTCAACTTGCAAAATTCATCTAAAATTGAGCTCTACATGTTTGTTTACTTTTTATGTACTGTTTCCTTGGTTTTTATTAGAGTTTTTCCTCGTTTTGCGTGCCAAGGTGTAGTTTCCGTTGTTTCGGAAGTTCGTAGTCGCGAGGAAAAGAGTTCAGAAGATCAAAGTGAAGAAGCAAGGCAAGTCACACATTCCCCTTGAGAATTTTGATCCTAATTTACAAATGTTTTATCGTTTACAAATAAAATTGCATGTCTTGCTAATTACATGGGATCCGGGTATTACCTATCTGCTTGCTTGTGCCATATTTACTTGATATCTGTCCTTTGTCAACCTTGGGTAATAAATCAACTAGCTCATGTTACTTATGTGACCTAGCTAGAACTATATGCTTAGCCATGCTTAATTACCACTAGCCCGGTTGATGGGATAATTATAGTATTAGACCTTTTTAGTGTCAGAATGAGCTGCATGCTCGAGACATCTGGCCATGCTTCATGGTCGTAATTACCCAACTAAAATGTGACTTCATGGTGGGCTGTGGGTGCATGGTTTTGCTAGTCGTGCCCATGGCAATTAAGAACCGGTTCACGGGAAACCCTGGAAGAATTTATCGTGCTTACCACAAGCCAGCGTGGGCAACAGCTGGGCTTGTAGTGTAGCTTTCCTCTAGCCGACGCATCCAGGCAAGGGTGGGTGTGATGGAATTTGGATGGGCCCTGCGACGGCCTATGCGGCTTCCGGATTCACCTAGGCACGAGAGGGGACTGCCCGCTGCCTTGCGAGGAGTGGGGGTGAAATCTGAGGTGTGGTGTGCTTGGTTAGAGGGAGTTATGAGAAGGGTCCTATCACGACCTCTTTCCAGTATGTCGTGGTGGCATGTCAGCGCACGGAAACGTGTCGTGGGGCTATGTCTTGTGGGTACAGTTGTACACCTCTGATCAGAGTAAAACTATTCGAATAGCCGTGCCCGCGGTTATGGTCGGTCGACCAGATTCACCGTGATTAGTCTCACCCCTAATAAATCGACCCAATGCACTGTAGTTCAGGTGGGTTGGTTGGGCCTGTTCAACGTGGTATAGCGTTGATCAGTGGAGATTTAATAGTACCTTAATTACTCAATAGTTTTACTGTTTTGCTCAATAAAATGTTTTACAACCGCCTTTATACAAATAGCCACAAGCCATTCTTGAATCCCGTTGCACGTCTGCATCATTGGTGTGGCTTGCTGAGTATGGTGGTTGTACTCAGCCTTGCTATTATTCCCCTTTTTTCAGAAGTGTAGTGCTTCTGAGCTGAAGACGAAGTTAGAAGACCAAGGTTCAGACCCCAGTTAAGTTTTGCCTGTGAGTGGAGCTGAAGCCCCGCTAGGATCGCCTTTTCCCGCTGTTGTCATTTTCTTTCGGTGTGAGGACTAAGTGCCTCTTCTGTAAGTATTTACGCTTTATTTATGTTTGGAACTGTATATTACTTGTCGTTTTGTGTACCCTGGCTTGTCCTGGACAGGGATTTAATACACAAAATAGTCCGGAAATTTGGGTTAAATTTCTGGGCGTGACAGACGTCGTCCCAGTCCTCGCCGCCGAAGTCGTCATCATCGTCCCCGCTCCCGCTCTCCTTGTCCGAGGCAAGCCCGAAGGTGAACCGGGGGGCCGACCCCTCGAAGTTAGAGACGATCGCGTCGGCCGCCTCCCGGACTTGCTCCCGAGCCCTTGCCTCGGTCCCTGGAGGAAAATCCTCGAGTGCGCGCCATGGGACGAAGTCGGGGTCACGCGCTTGGTGGCTCGCGAGGACCAGTTCCACCGCGTCCCGCGCCAAGAAAGCCGACGACGATTTCACAGTCTCGCCGACCTCCTTCTCCAGCCTCTCCAGATCCGCCGCCAGCCCGTCCAGCCGGAGTGCGACTGCCGGCGTGTGGGCGGAAGCTTACTATCCCGGTGCACGGAAATGCCGACTCGGCGCCCCGCGCGCTCCAGCCGGTCGACGGCGTCGGAGAGCTTCCCGGGTCCGATCCCGTTGGTGAGGCGGAGGGCCGCAATCTCCCTGGCCTGATCTTGCACCAAGCGCTCTATATCGGCGAGAGTGCTCTGAGC